TTCTTGGCAACTGGCTCCTTCTTGGGAGCCGCTTTCTCCTTGTTCAGCTTCACCTTCACGTCTCCCTTCGCCTTCTCCACCGCAGAGTCTGGCTTGGCTCGAGCATCCTTGGCTTTCTCCTCTTCCAACCCCGTTCTGGCCGCCTCCCCCACGGATTTTGGCTTCTCCTTGGCCCCAGCCTTCACCTCCTTCTTCTCCACCTTCGGAGTCTTCTCCTTGGGCACCGGTGCCCCGGCCTCCACCAGGCTGAGCTTGGAGCCCGACTTCAGGCTCTCCTTGCTCTCCGCCCTCCTCTGCTTCAGCGGCTTCTCCGGGGACGCCGACACCCCCTTCAGATCGTTCTTGGTGACCACGGGGTGCTTGAGGAACTCCAGGTGCTTCACCTTCTCCAGCCCCTCCAGGATGCGGGCCTGGGGGGTGCAGCCGGGGAAGAGCACCCGGATGATCTTCTCGTAGCGGCTCACGGGGTGCCAGACGAGCAGGACGCACACGGAGGTCAGGCACTGCAGGGGCAGGTCCTGCTCCTTGGGGTACCCGTTCCCCGCCCACTGCTGCAGGAGGAACTCCAGCTCCTTGGTGCCCTTCACGGGGTTCAGCACGTACATGTCCAGCCGGCCCACTCCCATCTTCTGGAAGAGCACGGTGGGCTCGGCGCGGGGGCCGCTGTCCCGGGCCAGCAGGTTGGGGCGGATGCCCAACTTCTCCAGGTAGTGCAGGGTCAGGGCGGCCTCGTCGCAGCTCTTCAGCACCCGGGAGTTGCCCTCGATGTCCTTCAGCTTCTCGGAGGCGTTGAGGAAGACGACGCCCAGCTCCGGGGAGATGAGGTTCTTGGCCCAGTCCCCGTTGCCCTGGGAGCTCTGGGACTGGGATGGGTCCTCCTCCAGCTCGGCCAGCTTCCTCTGGAGCAGGCTGTTGATGCCAGGCAGGCTGTCCGTGCCCGCGTGCGTCACCAGGATGGAGTCGATGCGGTCCAGGTGCCGGACCAGCTTCCAGAAGGAGGATTTGGGGTTGGAGCCCCCGTTGACCAAGACGTTGAAGCCGTTGACGGCAAAGAAAGCAGAGTCCCCTCTCCCGCCCGGGAAGATATAGCAGCAGGGCTTGGAGAGCTTGAGGAATCCCACCATGGTGGGGGGCTCCAGGAGGTCGAAGGGGGACTGGGGCTCCAGCGATTCCGACAGGTACTCCATGAACTCCTCCAGCCCCTCCATCTCCGGCAGGACACAGCCCGGGTTGTAGCGCAGCTCGATGAAGTCCTGGAGGTTGTGATGCTCCAGGCCCGAGTCCCTCCACTCCCCAAAATCGGGGCAGCTGATGGTCAGCCTGGCCTTGGCCGAGGGGTCTGCGGAGCTCAGGATCTCCCCCACCTGCGAGGGGACGGGGACAGTCGGGGCTTCAGGGGGGAGGTGGCACCAGGGACAGCGATGTGACAGCCACAGGGCGGGTCCTGCCTCACCGCCCTTCCCCGGGGATCCCACATTCCCGGTACCCACAAAGGGGGGCCCTTCCCTGCTTCCCTCCCAGCCCTGGTGTGGCTCAAGGCCGGGATGTGTCCCCCCCCAGCGTGGCAGTGAGGAGGGGACACTCCAGCAGCCCTTTGGAGCAGCGGCTGATCCATCCTCCTCCCGCTGCCGTGCCCAAATCCCGGCGAGACGCCGGCGACGTGCGCAGACAGCGGCTCCGGCAGCACCCGCCCGCAGCCCCCCCCAGGGGAGGGGGGAGCAGGGAGGAGGGGGGGGGGATACAGGCGGCTCCTTCCCGAGGCTCCCCGCCCCGGAGCACCACACCTCCTTATCCGTGAAGATCTGGATGAAATCCCGGAGGGAGAAGCAGCCGGTCTGCAGCATCAGCTCCCCCGTGTCCTCCACGCAGGGCCCCGCGAACACCAGCAGCTTGTGCTGCGACGCGTCCGTGATGAGGTTCCGCAGCTGGGGACGGAGGGGACGTGAGGACGAGGGACGGGGGGGATGTGAGGACAGAGGGGATGCGGGGACAGAATTTTATCCACCCCAGGGCCGCCGTTCCCAGCTCACCTCGTCGCACAGCGACTTGTCAGAGGGGTTGAGCAGCACCAGGGTCTCCAGCACATCCCCGCGGTGGTGGAGGGTCCTCTGACCTGCCGGGAGCAAGGGCTGACCCCCCACCCTCCCCAAAAACCGGGCTGCACCCCCCACCTGGGCCTCGTGGCGGGGGTGGCAAGGCCAGAGCCTGCCCGGTTTTCCGGAGGAAGAGGGACAGCCGTGATCCCGCTCCGGACACCGCGGGGGCCAAAGGACACGTTTCCCGTGTCCTTCCTGCCACTGGGAGGGGAGGAAAGGCGGGGGGGGGGGGCTGGGGGAGCCCCTTTTGCCCCCCCCCAACAACACAGCGAGTCCTGGGTGCTCCTGGGGGCAGTCTGGAGGTGAACTCCCTTCCTAAGCAGGGAACCACCCACCGGGGACCAAACTGACACTGCTGGGGGTGGGACATGGAGGGGCGGGAAAAAGGCACCAGAGCAGCCCCAGCTCCATCTTCTCCATTCCCTTCTCCCATGGAAAATCACATCCCGCCCCGGGCTGGGAGAAGGAAGCGGTTCCTCACGTGGGGGGATCACGGGGTTTGAATGAGGGGCTGAGCACAAAGCCAAGGTTGTTCCCACAGAAAGCGGGGGGCGGGAGGGGGGGGGTCCCACAGAAGCAAGGGGGTCCCTCCAGCTTCTGGGGGGGTTTTGCCCCCCTTTCTCCCCCCCCGTTTCACCTCTCACGATGCTGGAGAACGTGGCCGAGTGCCGGGACACGAAGAGCTTCAGCTGCTCGTCCAGGTTGCAGGAGGTGAGGTCGATGTCCCACGAGCGGATCCCTGCGGAAAACAGGGGCCAAAAATTCGGGGGAGGGGCTCAGCACCCACCAGCACCCCCCGATATTGCCCCTCTCACCTCACCCCGAGCTGGTTTTGGGTGCCCCCAAACCCACCCGGACCCCGACACACACCGACACCTGCCCGGCAGGTGAGCGCCCTGCGCGGTGACTCACGGCAGCACCGGCCGTGCCAGCGCCAAATCCCAACCCCCCGGGGCACGGAGCACCTCTGCCAGCACCTCTTCAAAGGGGGTAATTAAGGAATTAACGGCGCCGCCGGAGGATTCGGCACACGCCGGGCTCGACCTGCCGGCACCCGGGACAGGCGCTCTTAGAACAGCGAGGGGCAGCCCCAAAACACCCCCTCGGGGCTCCCCACGGGGGGTTTGGGGGTCTGGCCGCCCCCCCCCCCAAACCGCTCCCAGTAACGGCCACCGAACTGGGGGCGATGGCGTAACCGGGGGGTTGCACAACCGTTGGGTTTTGGGGGGGGGGGTTTGGGGAGGTTCAGGGCTGCCCTCGCAGGGGGACGGTCCTAATGGGTCAGTCCCGGCAATGTGAACCCCCACCCCAGGATTTTGGGGATCTGCTCCAATGTGGGGTGTTCGATGTCACGGCCTGAGACACCATCACACACCCCCACCCCCAGCTCAGGGAGGGGCAGGAGTGGGACGTGGGGGCTGGAGGGGGGTCCCCGCGGCTCGTGGGGGTGAATCCCTGGGGGCTTGGGGCAGGAAAAGGGGCAGATCCTGGAAATTTAGGGGAGCGGATCCCGGGGATCCAGGACGACCAAATCCTGGGGGTGGTCTGGGGAGGAAGCAAAGCTTGGAGACCCAAATTCTGGGGATTTTGGGGGGCAGATCGCGGGAGTTTAGGGGGGCAGATCCCGGGGGCCTTGGGAGGGGGCAGATCCCAGGGTTGAGGGGCAGAAAAAGGGGCAGATTCTTGAAAACAGAGGGGCAGATCCTGGGGCTCTGGGGGCAGGAAAGGCGGCAGACCCCGGGATTTCAGGGGAGCGCATCCTGGGATTTCAGGGGGCCCGATCCCGGGGGACCTGGGGCAGGAAAGGGGCAGATCCTGGAATTTTAGGGAGGGGCAGATCCCGGGGGGCCTGGGGCAGGAAAGGGGGCTGCCCGGGGTGGGGGATTCAACCCCGGGAGGCCCCTGCGGAGGAGGGACGTTGGGAGGAGGGACCCCCACGGGGGGGGGACCCTCCGCGGCCGGAGCATCATCGCGCGGTCTCACCTCGCTCCAGCTGCTGCAGCGCGGCGGCCCTGAGGCCGGGCCGGTGGCAGCCGCCGCCCACGATGGCGAGCAGGGAGAAGCGGCCGCGCGGCCCCGGGGATGCTGCGGGAGCGGCGGCGGGAGCGGGGGCCGCAGGGGCCGCGGGCACCGGAGCCGCCGCCATCTTCGGGCGCCCCCCGCCCGCTTAACGGCCACGCCCCCTTAACGGCCGCGCCCCCTGCGTCACCACCGCCCCGACCCGCCCACTGATGTCACCGCCAGCCAATGGCCGCCGGGCGAAGGGGAGCGGGTGGGAGGGGCGGAGGTGGGCGCGGGGCGGGGTCTTAAAGGGGCAATGGCGGGGTGGGGCGGAGTGATGGGCCCCGCGCGGTGCGCGATGGGCCGGGTGAGCCCCCGCGTCCTCCTGCCCTCGGATGCTCCATCCCTCCGCCTCCGGAGGGTCGGGGATCATCGCTGCTGTAATAGGAGCCCTCCCAGACCCAACCCTCAGCCCCCCCTTCCTCGCTCTGGCAGCGTTCCCACTCCCGCTCCCCTGCCCCGCATCCCACCCCAGCCTCGGGTAGACCCGCAGCAGGATGTGACCCACCCTTCCCACCATCCCCCCAGTGTCCCCTGTCCCGCAGCCCTGCCCCAGCCTCAGGTGGGTGCCCCCCGTGGACCCGCAGCAGGATGTGACCCACCCTTACCATCCCCGCTCAGAACCCCGCCCAGCGGCAGAGGGGGGCTGGCACCCCAAAATCCCCGCAAAAAGCAGTCAGCAGGATGAATTCAATCATTTAATGTGTCCCACCCCAGCCCCACAGCCCAGGGCACCCGAGGGTGCTGTGCAGGTCCATCCCGGTGAGGGGAGGGGGCTGGGGGCCCGCGGCACAGGCGGGTGGCAGCTGGTGTCCCCCGGTGTCCCCCGGTGTCCCCGATCCCTCAGGAGCACTTGAGGATGAAGAGGTTGCAGGAGGTGCCGCGGGGGCAGCTGCAGAGCTTCCCGATGCGCGCCCCGCGCCGCACCGCGCACGGCTCCCCGGGCTCGCACTGCGGGACCGCATCGTCAGCCCCGGCACCCGGAGGGGGGTCCGGGAGTTTGGGGGTCCCCCCCGAGCGCCCAGGGTGAGCACCCACCGCCCCCCAGCCCCGCCGTACCAAAGGCACCCAGCTCAGCCTCTTCTCCAGCGCCGGCGGATCCCTGTTCCCGAGCTTCTCCAGCACCTCCTGCAGCACCTCCACCTGCCGGACGCACACCGGGACACCGCGAGCTCCCGGGACATCCCGGGGCTCCGGGCCGGGCCACCCCGAGTCCCCCAGGGGCTCTGGATCTGCATCACCCTGAGCCCTCCAGATCCTTGTCACCCTGAGTTCCCGGGAATGTCCATGGGCTCTGGATCCTTGTCACCCCAAGGCCCCCAAGACATCCGTGGCGTCTGGATCTGCATCACCCCGAGTCCCCGGGAATGTCCAGGGGTTCTTGTCAAGTCCCCCACGATCCTGTCCCATCCATGGAGGATCATCCCCATTCCCCCCCCCGTGCCTGGCTTTATCTGGGTCAGGAATCAGGGCTGGGGCAGGGTCAGGGGGCTCAGGTAGTGCTTAGGGCGCATCCCGCCCCCCACGACCCCACCCCAATACCCCCCACCCGGCACAGCATCTCCCGTCCCCCCCGCCCGAGCCAGAGCAGCCCGTCAGGACAGGACAGGGAAGGGAACACCGGGTAAAATTCCCCAACCCAGCAATTCCCACGTGCTGCGGGATGCCCCCGGTGCTGCTCCTGCGAGGAGCCCCCCGAGCGCCCGACAGCAGCGGCACAAAAACAGCGGTGGGGGCTCAGTTTCCCTCCCCCCCGCGAATTCCCCAAGAACACCCCAGCACGGCCAGAACCGGCCCCCAAACCGGGCTGGTGGGAGCAGGAGCACCCTGAGGTGCCCCAGAGCCGCACGGGGGGTACTGGGGATCCCCTTCCCCGCTCACCCCACTCCCCCAGCCCCTTTACCAGCTCTGTCTTCTCCCGGCTCTGCCCGGGCAGGCTCAGGGGGGGAAGGACCCCCGGCGCTGGCTCGGGGGTGCCCAGCAGGATGAGGCCAGAGCCCAGCAGGCAGAGCAGGCAGAGCCAAGGGTGTCCCATGTTCCTGGTGCTGGAGCCTCCCTGGATTCTCATGGAAGTGTCGGGCTCAGCTTTATATCCCCCAGCCCCCGCCAGCCCCCGGCGTGGGCAAACACCCGCTGACGCAGAGCCGTGTGTCCCCCCAGCCCTGTCACCGTCACCAGGCTGGACGGGGGGACACATCCCCGGGGGACACATCCCCGGGAGACGCATCCCTTGGGACACAGGAGCCGGCGGGATGGACGTCAGCACCGCGGCCAGGGAGGGACCCCCGGGGCGACCCCCCCGCCCCGCAGCCGGGCAGAGACCGCCGCCAATTCCCTGAGCAAACACGGGGCTCATCCCGGCTGGATCATCCCGGCGCGTCCCCCCGGACACGGCGCAGACGGGGGGCAGGTGGGTCTCACAGACAGATTTATTGCAAAGCCGGGGACCGATGGGGGGGGGACAGACAGGGGGACGCGGGGGGACTAAAGCCTCGTTGCCCCAGTACCCACAGGGGAGTCCCCAAGTGCCACCGCACCCCTTTGTGTCCCACGTCCTCCCAAACGCGCCCCCCGGGGGTCCCTCAGTCCCGCAGCATCACTGTGGGGTCCCTTCGTGTCTCATAGGCCCCCTCTTCGGTCCTCCCGTCCCCCCCGAGGGTTCCCCAGTCCCTCTGCATTCCTGCGGGGTCCCCGCTGTCCCGCAGCCCCCCCACGTCCTGTCCCAGGCCAGGGGACATCACAGCCAAGCATCCTCCTCCCCCTGCTCCTCCTCGCTGGGGGCCTGGGGGTCCCTGCCGTGGGACCCCTCGCTCGGAGGGTCCGGGGGGAGCCACGTCCGGTCCCTTCGATCTGGGCAAGTCCAGACCCCCCAGCCCCGGGCCGGTCCCGGTTTAGTGGCCCCCAGCCCCGGTGCGGTCGCCCTCAGACCAGTCCGGTCCTGGTTTGGTAGCCCCGATCCAGCCCAGCCCCGGCGACCCCCGCCCGGGGCCGTAAGTGGTCCCGAAGCCCCGCCCACACGCCCGAAACCCCGCCTACCACGCGCGCGGAGGCCTCTGGGTAATGTAGTCCCTGCCCCGATTGAGCGAATCGACTACATTTCCCAGGGGGCTTTGCGGCGGAGGAGCGGCGAGCGCCCCCTGCTGGGGCGGAGGTCCGAGAGGCGGGAGCGCCGCCACCCGTGTGATGAGTTGCGGCCGTGCTCGGACTCGGGGGCTCAGCGGGGGCGGGGAGGGGGGGACAGGGCGCGGTGGGGACACGCACAAGGCGCCAGCAGCGCCGCGGGCGGGTGGCAGCGTGGGAACACGTGCCACGCGGGAGGAAAACTGAGGGCACATCGTGGGCGCTCCCCGCGACCCCGGGGGACGCGCACCGGTCCGGACGCGGGGGCCCGGGACGGGGCAACCCGGTGTGCAAAACCCCCGGGATGCGCCCGGGAGGCGGCGGGTGCGCGGGCAGCAGGGAGCGCGTCCCCGAGAGCGTGTCCCCGCGTCCCCGGGCCGTGTCCCCGGCAGGTGGCGGCCGCCGCCCGCCCCGCAGCCCGCAGGTCACCGCGTGTCCCCGTTTCCCCCGGTTCTGAGCGCACCGACCTCCCCCTGCCCCCGCCGCACGTCCCGGTGCACGGACAGAGCCGCCCCCGCTGCAGCCCCCGCTCAAGCGACGGACCCCCGGTGCAGCCCCCCGGTGCACGGACCGACCCCTCGGTCAACGAACCGCCCCCCGGTGCAGCCCCCGGTGCACGGACCGACCCCCCGGTGCACGGACCGACCCCCCGGTGCATGGACCCATCGCCGGTGTAGCTCCCGCTGCACGGAGCGACCCCCGACCCACGCGCAGAGCCCCGGTGCAGCCCC